TGTGCAGGTGCACTGAGGCTAATGTTGGACTCTGAATGTTCCATTATGGGTTTCAGTCTTTGTTGGTAAAATATCTGGATTTGTTGAGGTCCAAATATAAAAATGTCTCCTGGGTCTTCAATGAGCAACTTGAAAACATGCAGGTATTCATTTAGATTAAAAGCAAACAAATGATCTATCTGGAAAAATCGTTTTGTTTGAACTTACCTCGGGTTTTTATTGTTGAGACTTAATGCAATTTCATTCACAGCATGTGGGTGAGACATGACCATGTTGAAGCCATACTGGGAGATGAAAAACAAACCAGAGAGAGAAGGACAGAGATAAATAAGCTAATTAACAGAGGACAGAAGCCGCTGAATAAACAAGAGGTGCATTCTTCTGCATATCAAATGAAACATGGAGAGCTAGCAGTGGAGCAAATTGAATTTGGCTTCAGTTAGATAAGTGTGCTTCAGTCCAGAGGGACATGCAGTCTGTGAGGACGGGGAGTGCAGGGGGCTGACCTGGTAGTTCATGATGGCACGCAGGCACATGATGCAGACGTGGACGTCGTCTTTCTTGCAGACCAGTCTGGAGTTTTTCAGAGTTCTCCGGCTCGGAAGTGTGTTGCAGCTAAAAACAAATGATAGAAAAGACTAAACAATTCAGTGATAATAGGAAAGTCTTTTACTGAAACAAGTGTCGGGTCTATGAGCTTTTGGACACAAACAAGAGTGATCGAGGCTCGGATTGATAATAAAACAGATGCCATTTGCGATCGAGCCTCCATTCCACACCACCTCCTTCACATAGGGAGGCTGTTAAACTGCCACGCCACCTTATATACCTTATAATCTACAACCTCGCCAGGGGCCACGGGATTCCCGCTTTGTTTTAATTGTATGTCCTTCACAAAAGATATCACTTACAGCTATTACAATAGAAGCCAGTCATTTGCATGCAGCACAGAGATTGTGCAGCTTTATGTGTAGAAAAACAAGGCCTATTCTCCTGGTGCAGCTCTCGCAATACCAAGAGAAACGCTGGAGCAGCAGTATTACTGAATAATATGCATAGCAAGTCGGAGCAAAATGGTTTATTTTCAGACTTTCGTCACGAGGTTCAATTACCGGCCTGAGTTCTGAGGAGAAATGTGTCTTCAGGCTACTGATAGACACACCGATTTGCATCAGCTCCTATACTTAAAGGCGTGACTCCTCTGTGAGTCAAAACCTGGCATTTGTGTGAGTGTGTGTGTGTGTGTGTGTGTGTGTGTGTGTGTGTGTCTGTGTCTGTGTGTGTGTCTGAAAAAGGCTACAGTTTTCATGGAAATGTCAGCAGTTTTAAGACAAAGATAGCACTATATTTAATTAGGCAGGCTCACATCGAAATAAGATGGAAAACAGTAAATCCTGCTTTTGAAATTGTTTTTTGTATCTTTGTAATTATGGGCATTCTACATCAGCAGGATGTGGTACCGGCCGGGTGCAAAACAAGTTCGCTGACATAATTGCAGTCAATTCAGGTGACATGCTGCTACTGCTGCTAATAGCAGCATGAATCTTAAAAGAGTTCATCCAGGTTTACTCAACCAGTTAATTAACATACAACTTAAGGCGTGGCACCGTAGGGAGGAAATGAGTCAAACTATTTCTTAATCTCAAACCAAGGTTATGATAAGGGATTACATAATACAATCAAAATGTAATACAGTGACCTGCTTTGACTTGTTTGAAGTTACTCAACTTATATAACACAACACACCGAATCAAATATGACTGGGAGGAAACTGTAGGAAGAAGAGAGGTGAGTCGTCCTAGTTACAAAACATGAAAACTAAAGAATCCTGGCCATTTTCTCAAAACGGCACGACCACAAACAACAGAGCATGTTCTAAAAAAACACCACGGAACAACATCAAACACTACAACTATAACTACAGTAGAACTATATACAGGTCTAACGCAGCTACGAATTTCTAGAAAACCCCATACCGTTTAATTTGAGAGCACTTTGGACAGCTCAGCGTGCTTGGTGTCCTTCAAGATGGCAGTTTGAAGAAGACACATACAAATCGGATTTTGACACCAGGTTGTTTGCAGTTATTGAGTTTTACATTATCCTAATTTAAAGATAAACACAAAAAGGGGCAAATATTCTGTATAATGGACATTTAAGAATTTATAGAGCAAATGCTTCATAATTAGTGTGACATCTGTTATCAACCAGGACAACAGATAATGTATCCAAAATACAGAAGATGTTTGGAGGCTACCTAAGCAGAGCAACAGCCCCTCGCTTTTACAGGGCTTTTGTCGAAACTAGGCTAGTTTCTGCACAAACTGGCATTTAGGGAGCCACACAAGCAGCACACAGGCACATAGACAAGAACAATGAGTGCAGAAAAAACATTTGCTCCAAGGCAAGGAGAATTCAGTCTCCAGCGCGGGAGGGGAGGCTAGCAGTACAAATAATTCACATCCCCGACACAGACAGCGGGACAAATAAACTGGGCAGTGCTAGCAGGGCGGTATAAAATACAATGAGGCAGGGGGATTGTGTGTGTGTGCGTGTGTGTGTGTGTGTGTCGTGGGAGGGAGCAGGGATGCAGGGTTTAAGCTCACAGTGAGCCAGCAAAGTGAGAGACCCAAGACCTGCCTGCTAGCGAAGACTGGCAGACAGAGGAGCAGATGACTATGGAGGAACACCGGGACAGAACAGAGGACACAGTCAGAAGACACTCTGACCTGTTTGACACACTCCACATGCTGATGATACAAGGGTACATCTGGAGGAGGCAGATGTGTACCGAACGTCAGTTATGGGCCAACGTTGATATTATAGGCGTCGTACCAATGAAATAACCGTCAATGAGCTACAGATGAAATGAATAAGGATGAAAGAAGCCCTGACTGTCTGATGATAGTTGGATATTACAAAATTAAAGAGGTGTTTTAACCAGTTTTAACAGGCTTTATGAACAGGACACACCTTTTATATCTCTGACTGTCTATGATTTATGGCAAACATGGATTAGAAGAGAGAGAAAAAAGCATGCTAGTATACTGCGTTAACTTATTTTACATGTGTTATTTTATGTACTTTTGAGACAATAGGCGACAGTAAACAACTGACTTTGATTATCATGCAAGTATAACATTAAAGAGACATGTGTCTCCCTAAATCAATAGTGCTCTTTGTGTTTTAAAAAAAAAAAAAAAAAAAAAAAAGGAGTTCAAACTAGAACAGATTAGAAGTCACAGAAGTCAGGGCAAGTGGTGTACCGAAACATCAATAGAACGACAGGGCGGATTAGAGAAATAATGCACAACTGAATAGGATTTGTGCATCAGAGCATATAAAGCATGGGTTTATGGATCAAATCCACTGTGCTTAGGATTTGGTTTGGTGTTAATAAAAACGAAACAGATTTGGTCCACATATAAGATTGTTCCTTCTGCCGCATTGTCTGTCACATGAAACACTGTTGTCAATCATGTGTCATAACCACGTGCAGAACCAGCCCGACTTCAATCCTAAAAATCCACACATTGACAAGGTTTAGCCTCCTGCTGCAGAAATGTGTCTTAAGCCATTTAAGGCCTTACAGACCTCATGACTGCATAAAAGGGGCATCATATGAAAAGTGTGACTTCTCAAAATAGTCACACTTTAACCACATTGCCCCGGCTGAACACTAGGTAACTAGGGGGAAGAAAAGAACCCTGAAAGGCAAAGTTAGCTGTAAACGCTTACAAATCACACAAACACACATGGGTAATAGTGAATCTTCCTAACCATCAATGCGTGTGTGTGTTATACCGTATTGTGGAATGTCGGCCAGCACGTGTGAGGCTGTTCCCAGTAATGGAAGACGGCAGGCTGCCTCCTCCATGCAGGTCTTCTATAGAGCGGCTCCAGGGCTTAGACTTATCCATAGGGGCCTCTGGGTTGTTCTCCACACAGTCTCCATCAAACCTGTTGCATCATGAAAACAAGACATAACATAAGAAACTTGCCATTAAACCCTATCGTAGATTTCTGAAGGCAGTATGATTATTTGTGAACAATAAAAATAAAAAACAAAACAATGCAAATACAATTATCGGAGGTTTTCAACACATAACATCCCTAGTTAGTTACTTAACGCGCTAAATCGTGAGGAAAATAGTGTCCAAGTTAAATAATAGTGTGCTGGCAGAGGTGAAAATATGTTAAACTTCAGTTCTACCGCTAACATTCAGGTTTGGACATGATAAGTAGGCAAAATGTCTCATGTTATATGGTACTTGGCAGAAACCTTGGAAAGAGCTGGTAGTTATGGCATAACTGTTATGATCCATTTCAGTTTTTAGACTGGTCGGTTTCATGACTTTTAATTGCTGCCGAGCTGGTACTGAGGGTAAACACACTTTAACGGCTAACCCTTCATAATGTGGACAGACCATAATAACTTATGGGGAAGTGCGGAGGGTGAATACAACTTTTGACTGCGTGGCTCTTTGGCCCAGAACAAGGACCTTGTGACTGACTAATAATCACACCATCAACCTTTGAATAGAAGCCTATGGTTGGTATAATACACAGTGCCAATGTGTCAGCAATGGGCCACGAGTGACTACAGCAGCGGCGGTGGTGGAGATGCATCAGCGGCTGTGCAGAATAGCAGCATTATGCTGGTTGTCAGTTCTGCATATAGAGTATAGTGGTACAGAGAGAAAGCACTGGGAGTGACTTACGTGACGGCATACTGTGCAAAAGAAAGATACTCCACCAGCACGTCCAGACCTTTGTTCTCCTCATTTAAGAATTCTCTCACCCACCTGAAAAGAGAGACGGACAAAAGTTGATCAGCACTCAAACTCTTATCAAAATCATTTAAACCGTTTCTAGAAAGAGCACATGTTCAAATATGCTTGATCAGCAGTTAGAACCACAACCAGCTTTTATAATATTGTGTTTCAGAGTTGAAAAACCCCAAACTCCTTTGGGACAATCACAGCTAAAAAACTCATCTCTGAGTCTGGAAACAACAACTAAACATGTTTTGATAGACCAAGTTGAAGAATTTCGATATTCTTTTGTCTCTTATCTGGAAAGATTTTCATAATTAATGGGTAGCACTAAACCTCAACGTCTTTCCTTTCTTCAAGCCAATTTGTTTTTAATACATTTTTAATTAACTACGCCTGCACATTTTGACAAAAAACGATCAAGGTTTAACATAACACTGTAATCGACATGCCTCAGAATCACAACAATAAAAAAATGCAATAAACCGTACAAAAATTGCATTTGTTCCTAGATCTGGAAAATCTCTTGCTGTTACAACGACACTAAGATGTTAGAGTGTATAATTCTATGCAGGCTTCGACCATACCTGACCTTGGTACACAGATGTTTTCAGATCATTCCCCCTATCTCCCTTGATTTCTACCTCCCCTTGCCAAGACGAATTGTAATGACCCGTTTGACAGACTTCAAAGCTTCCTGGCTCAAAGCAGCAAACATATCCATGCATGTGTTAGCAAGAGCACAAGCATCCACACACATATACTGAATCTGCCTGTTTTCTCTGTTTGTTTCCCTACCAAACAGTTTCTAACTTTGGTGAAGACAAGCACCCAGAATGACCCAAAGCCCATTCTCACCTTCCTTACAGGCCCTGAAGTGGGCCAGCCATTCAGCACTCGGCATGCTTTCATGCCCGCCTATTCACAGGGAAAGCTCCCGCTACCGCTGGCATGTGCTGCTCTCCCTCCATATTTAGAAGCAGCGTGAGCCGAGTCACAGAAAACCTTTTTGTATATTTTTTAAATCGCTTCCCATAAAAAGGTGCCTTTCACTGGTGATTAGAGAAATTTGCAGTGGCATAAACATAATGACACGCGAGCAGGCTTTTGAGTGGTAACCTGATGAAGATGTACGGTTAAACTGCTTTAAAAATCCACTAGCTGCTTCTTTATTAGCTCCCCTGTGGTTTGACTGCATGGGAGCCAGTGAGACAAACGAGAGCGTCCGGTAAAGAGGTGCCTGGTGGGGCCCGTCATGTTTTTAAAAAAACGGCTTGTCGGGCCACATGGTAATCATTACCGCAGGACACTAACTAACAATCCTCCCATTCACCACATGCTGATGACCACCGAGCAACATGTGAGGAGCAGGCAGGAGGGGAGCTGGGGTTATCTTCTGCGGCGCTCATACCAGGGACAATCTACCCATTATACACAGCCGACATGACAGATACATTTCTCTGTTTCACCTCTGAAAAGAAGAAGCAACTATTCACTGTTCGAGTGGGTGACATCTTGCTCCCCCCCCCCGTACTATCTCAATCTCTCTCCCTGTCCCTCTGCCATTATGGTAATGCTTTGTCTAGTCTAGATTAGGTAGATTATTCATGTAATCTAGTTTACCAACATACGGTCTCGAAAAGGAATTAACCCATGGAAACAATGCCTCGACCGGTTTGCCAGATGGACATCGTCTCTGGCTGTGGTCGCGGTTTATTGTGGTTTGAACAGCAGAATCTGCTGGGTGTGTGTGTGTAAACAGTGTGTAGGAGTGTGAGAGATGGTGTTGTCAGGAACATGGGATGATTTGTGTGCGAGTCGGTGAAGCAGACAAAGTGAGGTCCAGTAATATGTGTGTGGGAGGGAGAAGAGAGAAACAGAGGGATTAAGAGATGTTGTCTAGATTACGTGTATGTGTATTAGAGGTCTGGTGATGGTTGTGTAAGCAGCGTGTCTGTGTCTTTGTTCTCACAACGGTCTGCGGCCAGTGGACGCTCGTCATGGCTGCTTCTTCCTATTCTAGTCAGGGTCTCCGTGTCCATTTTGACCGCCCACCTTCAACACCCTTCCCAGCTACTAGACCGCATCCTCATTCCTACCAAAGACTCCTAAGCCTCATTTATGCACAGTGTTGTGCTTAAACCATGGATACGCTAGCTATTCACACAGAATGGAGGCGTCGGTGGGTAGAGCAGGTTGTCCTTTAATCACAAGGTTGGCGGTTTGATCCCCAGCTCTTCCTTTCCTCATATCCAAGTGTCCCTGAGAGAGACACTGTTACAGCAGCCCGCTGTGCCTAAATACGTAGGGATTGGTTTTATGTATGCGTGTATGTGATGATTAAAATTGTTTAAGTTTAGATTCAGAATTGAAAATATGTAGTTAAAAGAGCATTGCACAACATATTCAAAACTCACAAATGGACAGAGTGGACTGCCATTCTTTGTTTGACCATAACATGAAATAATAATAGCATCTTTATTTGTTTAAAAGCTGCCTTGATAAATGAGGCGCCTGGATCCTCCAGATCCCAGAATGCATTAGGCCTCACTAGTGTTGTTGACTAATCCATCACAGTCTTTAACTATCAGGGTCTGTAATCACAGAGACAGGCCCCGACATCTATAGCCACACAAAGCACTGAGACGTTGTGTGACGCTCATTGAGATATTGATCTCTCCTTGACGGTGACTGTACAGCACTCGATCAATACCAACTGCAGCAGGCTGAGGCTTGTTATCCTGGAATTACACATGAATACCTCGGGGATTTTATCTGTTGTGAAATCATGATCTCTTCAGTAACATCTACAGTAAGGCCTCTTTAGGTCGGCAGACTGAAACGTTAATGTCAAGATGGGCAGCAAGAAAAATGTATTTTCCTTCCATAGGCCGTTCACATGTCAACCGCCTTAAACAATTAATCGATTCATCTTTCCTCCATCGCCACATGGCTTTTCTGTGTAATATTAGGCCGGAGCACTGAGGAGAGTGGGGGGGGATGGTGGTGGTGGTGGTTAGTGTCAACGTCTGCGTCTCCGGGTGTCTGGAATGTCAGACTTTTCCCCCTGAATGTAATATAACAAGGTGAGTGACTCACCCGATGTGATTGGTCCGCAACGAAATTTCCAGTTCTCTCAGGACTTGAGTGGACTCCTGAACTCTCCGTCTGAATTTCTGTAGAAGGAAAGAAGGGAGGGAGGGGGGGGTTAATATTTCATCGTACCAGTAGAACTGTAAATCATCAAGTGGAAGCCCAGCGTTGTTTTGGCTGGAGAAAACCTTTTCTGACTGAAAGGTCAGACAACACAGACACAACCACAGTGACATTCAAAATGTGAAAGCAGGCCAGCCGTGCACTGATTACAGAATAAAGAGTCGGGATTGGGTTTGTTCTCGTACGATTTTTAAGTGGGCCGTTTACTTGCCAGTAACCGTTCAACAGGCTAACAGAGAAGGAGAGCTGACTCATTGGAAACTGTGAATATGGAGTAGTTCCTGTTATCTTGTTTGCTCACAGTGGTTCTTTATATAGCAGTAATCCCTCCTGGTAGCACTGTGATAAAATCAAGTAACCTAATTGGTCACCTCTCAAGCCCTACCAGCAGCCACACACAGCCACACACACACACACACACACACACACACACTCTCTGTCCTGTTACTGTGGCTACCGTTGTAAGAGAGCGAAACATGTGTGAGCGACATGCATGAAGGTATGGACTGCCAGTAAATGAAACAGAACATGAGCGGGTTCCTCTTTGATTGCAGCTTCTGATAGGAGGTGATCCGCGAGACCGAACGAACAAAAGGCCCTTCAGGCTGTTACACAACCGCAGCAACAAGACGAGCGGAGTGAACGATCAGCGGGGATCAAACAGGAGAGAGAAATCCCTGATGAGAGGGATTGAAACCGTTGTATCAGAGAGGAGGGTTCATAGAAAATGTTCTGTCATATATTTTAAATAGGAAAATATAACAATAAAGAGAAGACTTATTTAAGATAAAAAATATTTCAGGAAAACATTATTGAGCCCAAGGCCAAACAAAATATAAAAATTCCCTAATTAGAACTTCTCAAATGTGAAGATTTGCTAAGTTTCTCTGTGTTATATCAATGTAAATAGAATATGTTTGAGTTTTAATCAGACTAAACAGACATTTGAAGATGTCCCCCGGGATTCATGAAAACTGGGATGTACATTTTTATTTTTTACCGTTGTCTGATATTTAATAGATCAGGCAATTAATCGATCAATCTGGAAAATAATTGTCTGGACTAGCTCTAATCATGGGTTCCCTGTCAAAATGTCTACCTCAAGATTAAAAGAGGTTTTTCTGCACATTTTTCTAGCTACAGTCAAAAGTAGAGGATCCACCCAGAGCTGGAGGGCCTGGTCACTTTCCATGATGCGTTTGTATGAGGGAGGAAACAGAGCTCAGTCCCGTGTTAGCCTATTATTAACATCCACAGAGAAGTGTTCCCATAGCGAGGGTCGCTCTCTCTAGTCTGCGGTGTCTTTGGGCTTGGGCGGTGTGTGTTTGGCACATGAGGAGATGAGAAACAGAGTGTTTTTATTAGGGTGGAGCCCTTTGTGTGTTTGTGTGGAGAGCAGAGCATATTTAGGGGTACTGCGCAGGCTCCCAGAGGCACCCCCCTCCCCACACCGCCCCCGCCCTCTCCTCCTACTTCTTCTTCTCCCACCAAACGCCCTACACTCCACACTTTTAAGTACTACCAGCTGCAACACGGAGAGAGCAGGACGGAAGAGAGGAGCCGACAGTGGGGGAAGAGGGTGAGGACGGCATGAAGGGAATGAAGAAGAAGAAGAAGAAGAGGAGGAGACAGGGAGGGAGCAGCGAAAGGGGAAAGTGAGAGAAGAGAGACAGTGTGGACAGGAGGGAGGGAAAAAAAGAGGTTTTTTTGGGGAGTGTGAGCTCAGGAAGGGTCATCCTGGAAACAAATCAATGGCTGATACATTGTCGGGGACTAGTTGGACTGCAGCTCTTCCTCCTTGGCTGCCTATTGGCTGGGAGCTGCCCAGAGGAATGCACCGGAGCCTGCCTATGGAAAGCAGAGGCAATGACCTCCAGCTCTCTCACAGCGGCACAAAGTGGCAATTGTTTTGAGCTTGAAGAAAAGGGGGATGGAGCAGGAATGTAGAAAGAAGCCCATAACTCTTTCTTTTCCTCCGCACTTCTTTTTTGTCTCTCTCTCGTTCTCTGTCCATCTCTTTCTCCCCCTCCAACCCCTCACCATCATTTATCAGTCTTCCTCCTTCCCTCCCTCTCATTTGCCCATCTCACTTTACTCTCTCGTGAAATTCCCGTTTCCTTGTCTGCTTCGAATCTTTGATCAATGCCAGGAATAGGCAGAGGCAGCAATTCCCACCATGATGATTTTTTTCAAAACACCGAGTATTTCTGAAAACGAGACGAAGGATAAACAAAAAGAGGTTTTGGGCATGTCTCTCAAAAGTTGCTCCATCTAGAGTGGTTTAAGATAGACCCAACAACCAGTTAGTCATGCAGCCACAGATGAGTTAAATAAAGAAATGTGATTAACATCAGCTCTTAGAGACAAACAAACATTGGTAAATGCTGTCTAGTCCATCTAAAGTCTTTCAGCCGTGAACACCAGAGAGCTTTAAACGTGGTCACCATCTACTTCATATATCCAGTGCACCCGTCCTAAATCTCTTACCGAGACAGGAACTCTGCAAAAGTGTCCCGTCTCACATACTGACGGCCACCGACTGTCTCCCATGGGGCAGCTTGACGTGCCTTGCTCAAAAGGACTTCAGCAGTAGGTGTAGAAGCAGGGAAGACATTCAAATCAGCCGTCAACACGCCTGCGTCATAACCTTGAGACTATCGCTGCCCCAGCACAAACTGTTTTAACCACGCTTTATACTTTACAGGGTTTTGTCTGCTTCAACCTGCATCAGGCTGCTCTTACTTCCTGCTTTTATCAGCTTAAATCATTTCAAACCGTATGTTATTTGGCAATATAAAGTATATGGTCACTCAGTTGAACTCTCAATGTTTGGACTGGTTTGGTCAAGTTTGCATTTGTACTCAAACTCATCTAGCAAACACATGGTGTCCAGGTGTTTTAGCTGACTCAATATGTGGATACCTTTCCTTAATTAGAAGAGAAAAAGAAGAAGAATTACTTTATTAATGATCAGGGGAAATGCAATTTGTTTTACTATTGTAATAAAGCAAATCTTTCCACATACTCCTGGCAAAACACCCCAACTGAGGTGACATCATTTGGGAATCACTGTCCTGCACATCAATAAAGCAGCTGTGAACCATATCACACGCAGGATATGCTGGCCGACACGTTTTTGCAAGTCAACAACTCTGCGTTTGCATGTGTGCTGAGATTAGCAGTAGTTTGTGTGTCACTCTGTTCACGCTGCTTTAGCTGGCATATTGTGATGTAAAATCTTAACTCCAGTCAGTCCCAATGGAATTATTCAGCGATTTGTTGTTATTCTGGCACATTGTATTGGTTGATTTGTTTATCACAGAGAGCGGTCTCCCAGCACTGCCCCCACAGCTCTCTCAGGCCAAAAAGACTTCACTTTGGCAGAGCCTGAAGGCTGGCTGATGCTTCATGGAGCCCCTCCTCTTACTCTTTGCTGCTCCCGTCCAAGCAGCCAGGGAAACCGATGACATAAGAACATATTTATCATGTAGCTAAGACGCTTCTGATATCTCCTGGCTGCAAGGCAATGTCAGTGCAGGAATTAGCAAACATAGAACCCTCTCTCTGTTGGCCTCTCTGTCAACGCGATCATTCTCTCCTCTGTCTTCAAGTAACTCTTATTGTGTGTTTCTCACGTCGCTCTTCCTCACGATGAGTTCAGAGCATGCTGTCAGCCACAGAACAGACCCACAAGGGATCGGTAAGGATTTCAGTTTCCTATTTAATGACACATCAACTGGGCAGAGGTTTAACAAACCTGGGCATTCCAGATAAACAACTGTCTCCTTTCTCACTAAGTCACCCTGTTGACTGTCAAGTTCCCAAGCTGTCTGCCCCAGAAGCCATGAGTGCAATCTTTTCTCAGCTGTAAGGATATCCTGGACAAGTGATAGTAGAGTTTCAGACGGGGAAGGAAAAGCTGCGGCAGTGGAACAGGATGGCGCGTCAGCAAGGGCACTCACCTTTCTTGTGACTGCGGGGTCTAGATAACTCCTCAGCTTTTGGAGGTACGCGTGAGGCGGGTTTTTCACTTGGAATCGCTCCTGTCAAAAGAAAAGGAAAACAGGACGAGAGAAAGAAGACAATGACAGAGTGAGTTAAACATTTGCAAACCTTTGGAGTAACAAGGACAGAAGTTACACTTACTGTAAAATCATGAATTTAGCTTTAATTTCAGGCAGTTATGCAGCTTTTTTAATGATGTTTTGTTCATTCAATGTGGCCACACATAAGGTAATAACAGAAATCACATCCTTACAAGTCTTACATATCACCAGTATAAACTGTTGTAAAGTCATCAGAATGAAACTGAACAGGCTTTGAGTAAACTACAGTCATCATGAGTCATCCTTCAAGAGCCATAGATTATGTTCTACTTTAGGAAGCGGAAAGGATAGAACAACAATGATCCCTGTCTTCTAGAGAGGACATGACACACCTTTGTATGACGAAGATCTGACTGGAGATCAGCATTACTTTGCTTCTCAGGAAACCATTCAATGATAATTGAGTTCAATTTTAGAATAGCTCTTGTGTGGACGGTTCTACTGTCCTGCGACTGCAAATGTAATGTTTGTTAGAGGAGGAGTTTGGCACAACATGAACTGTCATCATATTTCCAAGTGTAACATCAATAGTTCTGTTTAGTTGCCTAAACGTGCGTGGCTGTGTGCGTACATGTCATGTGTTCACAGCCAGGAACAGGTTTTAGGTCAAATCCCCTCTCGCTTGTGCTGCAAATATAAATACAAGAGATTAGTGCTGGATTTGGATCGGTGAGTTGAGCGGGAAACAGTATTTGGATCAGACTAAGCGCCACACCGCAGCAGCATGAATGGTTCTGTTAAGTTATTTACCACACGACACCAGAGAGTGAGAGGCTGGAGAGCATGCTATTGCGGAAATGTATTCTTTATATAATGTGGGCAAAGACACTTCCCGACTTAGGCAACATACTGCTACATATCAGCCATTTTTGATTTTCAATGCATACCAGAGTATGCAAGGATCTCAGATGCACATCTAAAGGAAAGTACAGCAGGAAGTCACGCATTCATTATTCCGCTGAAGGAAAGCTGTTAACCGTGTGGTTTTCTAAATCAATGCATATTTTCTACATTTTGTCGTTCAAATAACACAATAAGCTAATGGCCATGGACTTGTTGAGGAGAGGGGTGAAGGAGTTTTTCAGTTGACAAAGGGTATGTATATTTGGAAGGTGTTCCCTCTCCATACGATATGCAAGTGATGCCAACTAACAGAAATCCAACACAAGAGCACCACAAAAATACAGCTGAAAAATAAAAACTCCTCTCTGTGTACAGATACTGAGATCAGATCACATCTCTAAACTACACTGCATTTTCAGAAACATCACATTTATCACTGCCAGAGTGTCCGTCTCAGAAAAACAGGAAAGACAACAGCGGCGTCAGGAAACTGACAGCTCGACCCTATTTGAACGTTTCTCTGCTGAAGAATTATCTGAGAGTCTGCTAAATAAACGAGTTGGCAAGTGCTGTACATATCCTGTAGCCTGCAAAGATATGTGAGGAACGGAGGGCAGTAAATACATGAAGCATGAGACTAAATGATAGAGAACGCACGTCTGTATTTTAGAAGCACATATCAACAGGTTCCAACATGCTATATGGCCGTAAAAGAGTTTGTCTGGGGGAGCTGGTCGGGATTATATTTGAGAGGTGAGTTACCCCCCCACTGCACCCGAGCACAGACTCAATAGGAGGAAATCAGCTAACGAGCAGTTGTTTACCATTCACTGTGTATATACATGTATAGGATGCTTTGAAGAACTATGAACTTCTAAAAACGTTTTGTTGGTTGGAAACAAAGTCTCAGATTTTGACATTTTGAATTCTTAACCTTTTGCTCACATCAACAGCATCCTCCATATTTAAAAAAAAATCCCCATAATTGCCAGTAAAATAATATATTTCAACCTCTGGCTGAGTTTGCGGGGCTCGTTTTAAAAAAGTGATGCATCTGTCATCTCTGCCTCCCTCCATCACTGTTGCTATGGTTACATAAAAAGATAGACTGCAGCTATGACACAGAAAGCGCTTTACTCCCCGAGCTGTGTGTGCCGTCATGAGTAAAGGCGTGTTGGGAAAACAACAGAGGAATAAAGACATTGGAGGACTAGTTTGGCAGTATTCTTGAGTTTTTTTTAACGTTAAAAAACATGGATCGTCTTACCCCATAATGCCAACTTCTCTCTGGCACTTTATCGACCAGCTAATTATGTATCATGCTTAAGAAACGTCACACCTACAGTAGATACAGGTCATTTTAAACATGGACACACTTCATTTGCATTTTGTTCTCTTTCAGTAAGCGTGAGAGGATCAAGAAACCAAGATGCCCGTCACCAAAATCACAGGGAAATGTTTTTGGAAACTGCTTCACTGACAATGAAAGGGAAACCAATTATTTCCCCTTCAGGTCTGACAGAGGAACACAGAGTCCACTTCAAACTGAAAGAGGATCTCTGACTGCTGGTCATCAGCCTGCACCGTTCCCTTCAGGGTCAGTGGCTGTCAATACAGTTTGAGTGGGTGGTGGTCTTGATCTCGTCTCGGTTTTTTCTTCTCTGCTCAGAGAGGCAGAAAAACTCTCTGGCGTGGAGGTTGCAGGCTGAGTGGAGCCCTCAGACCACAGCTCACTGCACAACGTGCACCCTCTGTTATTTCCTACACGCAGAGCCGACGGCAATAACCGACCGAGTGCTTTAACGTGGCGAACGGATATTTGCGCCCTGCTGCTTCGCTTTACTCTCTTGACCGGGGAAGCCTGGGCAGTGTGTAAAGGATAAAGGCAGGGCAATGGAGCAGGGGTGCTGGGGTCACGACACACAGTGGATTACATATTCAGTAGACAGGTGAGATAGTAGATACAAGGATCGCTTTGTTAAACTGTATCAAAGGCTCTTTAAAGCCATACAACTGTGAACCTAAACTTTATTAATTCCTAAGTCTGGTAATTGTGCAGCCATGGTGCATTGACTGCATGGCACCCCATCATACAGACGAGAGATTGATGCCCACCTGATCGCAGATGAGTTCCCACTTCTTTTCGTTGTCGTACTGCCGCAACAGTCGCGCTTTGTCAGGAGGAAGATTCATCGAGTTCTGAAAGGGAGAAAAAAAGGTCAGAGTTAATTGGATGTGGATAATGAAACGGCTTCAGTCACACGAGTCCGGTAAAAACCGGCATCCCAGATTAACTAAAAACAATGAAGCTCATACACAGGAGGGAATCGTATGCAGGAGGATTGTCTGTCATTATTAGTGCGATGTATCTGGTGTAGAGAGAGCAGATCTCTCACAGTTTTCATTTACACTCACAATATCAGAGAATCTACCGCATTCAAGACATCAAATTGAGCACCAGACAATGGCACTGAGCGCATAAACTGATGCAGGTCTGCATTTGGGTTCCTCTAGTTGGACATTATCTTCTCACTCAACACTGATATGTGTAGATGAGAAAAAGAGTTACATTAGCCAAAGTGAGGGAAAGGTTACGTGGTCATCTAAATGAACAGTTTCTTTCTCTCTGGAGCAAGAACGTACAAAGCAAATCTCGTGCCAATCTGGCCGTTTTCAAGTTACAGTTCCTCATCTGTGGCTTGTCAAGAAACAACTTCTTACTTCGATCGCTCTCTTTTATTTTCCGACAGTCGAGGATTCAAATTCCTCCAGGTTGAAACACCTTACATAACTATTTTCCCTTTCATACAACCCAGTTACCACACGTATGGTCGCCACAAAAGCCACTAATGAGACGATCCCAAAATATCTGCAGAGGAAATCTTACAACACAGCTGGGAAAACGAGGTGTCTCCTTACTGAGAGTTAGGTTGTGACACAGACGCAGAGAGGAGAAACATCGAAGCTCTGCTGTCTGAGTCAAGGCTTTGAATTTGACAACCAGGCGACTGAGTTCGACCCCGGCACACAAAACTGCATCACATGTATCCAGCAGTCACTCAACACCCGTCAGATGCGCAGAAATCCCAAGAATTAATGGGTTAGAAGGAAAGAATGTCCAAAAGCTTGTCGGCGTTGTACTTTCTACTTGTTTCTTTTTCCTGATTATAATAACTACTATATTCCTCTTTCATGATGTAAGAGTGATTTCCTGAGAAGTGTGTTGTTCAGGACAAATCTAATCTGACCCATGTGTGTGAAAATAAGCCCCAATCATCCAAAAAAACTCCTTTCTTTATCCTGTATGATCCACCCCGGCCTCGTGTGAATTAAAAGAAGCTTGAAACAATTAACCGGCTCTTAAATCGTACCACCTACAGCATGGAGAGCACAGGACAAACAAATATGTCAGCAAAAAAAATGGAAATAAAATGTGTGTCGCAGCTGGAGATTGGTTAGCCAACAAACACTTCAGAGAAAAACCAATCCAGAGAGAGAAAATATACATTCAAAACGGGAAAAAGCTACAAGGCTACAAACACCAAGTATTTTATCTGAGTCCTTCATCTGCAGGTTTGAGTTATAAAAGACGTAGTTTAGTGTGAATGTTTCCACTGCTGAAGTGTAGAAAAAAGTGGAAACGCAACCCATCGTGCACCGCTCGGCTTGAGGTTCTTTTCCTCTCCACATTCGCTAGGCTGGATCATTTATCAGTGTGCATTCAGTGCTCAGACTACACTTTTCTGCCAAGCTCGCAGGGGGAGCGAGAGGAAGATGGATGAGGAACATCCTGGGATCCAGCCTATTTCCATGATCAAGTAATACCAGGACAGATTCTGACACTGACCAAGTGGCCTGATCCACAACTTGCTTCATTTTATTATATTGTATATTACCATATGGCTTTGCTATTGATCTATGCAATCATTCATCATTTTAAGAGAGTGCATTTGTAAAAGCAAATCACTGCAGAGGGAGCTGCTTAGTGTGTACTAGCAGGGATAGGCATAGTACACATCTCCTAAAAGGAAGACTAATGTTAAGACAAACAAAACTAGATTCATACAAATGAGTTAACTGATAACAAGTGAAGCCTCAGGATTACAAGTTAGCTTAAAAGTCTACAAACTTGGTTAACTGTCATTATTTTCATGATATCATGTGCTGTCCCTTTCTGTTTGCTCTTCTAAATAGACGCTGATGAAGCTCAACTGATTCCCTCCACAGGTTTGCCAATAAATCTCCTAAATTAATTGAAATCCAAATATAAGAGTACAATTTGCTTTAAATGTTTATTGATGTCTTTAGATGCATCAAAATCAAATCAAAGCACAGCAGTTTGGTTTTATTTGGTACAAATAAAAGGGTGTAGCCCGTCCAGTCTCCTCTACGAGAGCGAGCAGGGAATTACATCAGTATTCAGCAGATGCTGCCAGCCGGCTGATTGCTGCTGTGCTGACTGCAGGGAACTGGGAGTCGGAGAAGCTCTGTTGACTCAGTCTGGAGGCTAACCAGAGGACTAGAGTTAGTACCCACTTTCCTTCCCTAAACACAATCTGATACCAGAGTACAACGTGACATTTAATGACAGAAAGCCACCAACAGTCTCACTACATTACACAGAAAAGTTAAAACAGTGGGCTGCGAGCTCAAATTAAAGGAGGGTAAAATCATTAAGTTATTTCTAGACGTCTGTGTTGTTATGTTTGGATATTGGAGAACTGTTGGCCTGGAGACAAATGCTTTGAGGTAATGATGTAGGTGCTTGGATTTAGGTGCTGTGCTTCTTGCAGACTGGTGGTTTGCTGAGACGCTGTGGGTGCACTGAGCTGCGGGCTTCCTGCTTGGTGAGGCTCCAACTAAAGCAAAGAACCACTTCTACCAGCCGTCATTTCATCCCAACGCTAATGAGCTGTGACAGGCACTCAGCTCGCCGGGCTCAAGTTACCCTACGTCTACAACCACAGTAGTTCTGCGCGCGCGCGTGTGTGTGTGTGTGTGTGTATGTGTGTGTATGTATGTGTGTGTGCTCATCTGTGGCATTAATGGGGTGATGTTGAGGAGGGTGTGGCAGCTTTTCACCAACACCTGATGGCTGACCACACTGACAAATCCACACGCACCAAAATGTCACGCATTAGGAGGATTTTGACCCATTCCACAGGCACCAACGAATTGTGGAAAATCCAAAATGATCACATGGTTTGCCCACAGTAACTGAGGACGCACTGATCCAACATGCAGTATCAGTATTGTTCTGAAACAAGCCATAAACACTAAATCTGATAGCAGAATAAATAGTTACAGTCTGATATAAAACTTGACTTTCCTGAGCTGGCTGAGCAACCCTCTTTCTGTGAAAAGTGGGGTTTCAACACGTGCACATCTCCAGCCTCTCTGCCAATCGGACATTTTATCTCCAGAACAGCTGTCCCACATCTGTAACTGCTAGTGAGTGAATTTCGTTGGATAACAATTGAAAAAGGCAACAACTGGGAGTTTGAGCTCAAACATGTATCCTGTATTGGACTCTGAACCACTCTAGGCTACAGTTTTGGGGCTCACACATGGTGGACTCCCCCGTTGCATGGCAAACAGAAAACACTCGGACATGTCAGATTGCAACACAAAGCAAAATTATTATTTATAGATAGCAATCTTAAGCAAAGTGCATTTAATTTCTTATTAATTCATAACGTTGTATATTAAAAAGAAAAAATAGCATCTGATTAGTGGATTATCGGCAGATAATTTTGGTTGCAGCATTATATCAGAAATATTTTTAAAATGTGCTTCCTTCTCACCAGTTTAACTCAGTAATTCTAGCCTTTTTAGTTTTAGTGTGCAAAAATCTTGCTGAGTAATGGAAAGCCACACAAGTTAATTACAAAGACACCCGGCCAAAGAAAGTGCTGCATAATTTAAAAGGCATGGATAATAAACTGGAATGAAAGCCATATAAGTTATTGCTGCAGACTTTGTAGGAGGCATGAGTATGCCTGTGTGTGTGTGTGTGTGTGTGTGTGTGTGTGTGTGTGTGTGTGTGTGT